GTCTCTTTCTCTCTGTGTCTCTTTGGTGAGTACATGTATCCTATAGGAAAGACCTCTCTCTAAAAAAGAAAAAGTAGAGGGACCAGCAGTTAGCGTAATGGCCATGTCGCTGGACTCCCATGTAGTCGACCACAGTGCGAGTCCTGGACCCCGTGGCTTAAAACTCACGCCAGGCGCATGTGCGTGCGTGCCCAAGATCCTAAGAGGAGAACGGAGTAGAAGGGATTGTGGCGTGTCCATCCCCCCTGGGGGGTGATTTTTCACTTTCTGTCTCTCTCTCTGTCTCTGTCTGTCTGGCAAGCGCACGCACCCTATAGCAGAAAAAAAAAAACTCTCCCAAAAAAAAGAAAAAGTAGAAAACGAACTCAACTTCTGTCTTGTTAAACTCATTAACTAATGAGCATTCTAACAAAATGATTTTAGGGTAGGAAAAATATTTAAACAATTATAAATGAAAACAGAGTACACCAACTCCAAAAGATTCCTTCAGCTAAATAGTTTCATGACAGATTTTGACGGCTATAAAATCATTTTGACTGGGTTCTCGATTCAGTGGGATGTTAACATATTGGGTCACTGGAAAAGTCATGATGCAATTTTACTTAGACAAGCAGAAAAATACAACATGACTTTTCCGACGACCTAATGGTTTTAAGCAGTGTTGCAGATAACCATCCTGAACCGGCCATCCTGCAGTTACCTAACAGACTGGTACTTAGTCACAGGTTCTTAGAAAGAGATGGGTTCCTACAGCTTCCTGCCCCAGGAGAAGGAAACGATTTCAATAAATGTTTCATGTGATTTTTTTTATTATGTGCAAATTCTTTGTATCCATATGTAATGAGAGCTTTTTTCTCCATTTTCCTCCTTTTGAATGAAGTCTACTTCATCCAAATATTCATCATTAGTTAAAAATCAATTTAGATTTTCTTTTCTGAATCTAGCATACCCTTGTTAAAGGCCTATATGATATATTTTTGACAGAATAACAGTAAGAGTAATTTCTGAAGAATTAGAAAGGAACTAAGTGGGGATCAGCAGTTAGCGTAATGGCTATGTCGCTGGACTCCCACGTAGTCGACTGTTGTTCGAGTCATGGACCTGGTGGCTTAAACTCACGCTGGGCGCGTGTGTGTGCGTGCCCAAGATCCCGAGAGGAGAATGGAGGAGAAGGGATTGTGGCGTGGCCATTCCCCCGGGGGTGATTTCCTGCTTTCTGTGTGTGTCTCTCTCTCTCTGTCTGGCGAGCGCACATACCCTATAGCAAATAAATAAATAAATAAATAAATAAATCCTCTCCCCCCAAAAAAAGAAAGGAACTAAGGGGCTATGGTGGGAATGTCCAATTTTTTCAAGTAGAAATCGCCAACTATGGAGGCTCCTGAACTTTGCTTTGATCATAAGATTGAGAAGGAATTCCCCAACTTTATTCATATCTATGGTTTACACTGAGCAATACTTCATAATATCCCAATTTTAAGTAATAACTTTGGGAAAATTAAACTTGATTTATTCAACTTCTACTCTAGCCAGGCTGGTGTAACGTACATTGGATTTCATCTTTAGTCATCAACAACCAGAAAACTAGGGAAAACTCTGAATAAAGAACTGTTTTCAGACCCCGGACAGCAAGCAGGGTCGACTTGTGATCTCTGACAGGGGTGACACATGTGGCCAGCTCCACTGTCACCTAGGCTTTCTGCCTGCAGATCGTTCCTGGAAAACAGAGGCAAAAGAAGAAAAACTAAAATAAAGCTCAGTAGTTTTTCCTGAGCTAGAAAGATGGGAGATTAGAATTCATGGAGGCTAAGATGACTGGAAACTGTAGGTAAGAGCTCAGGAAAGGAAGAAGTATTGATGTAAAAAAGCTCCAAAAATCTGCACAGAGTTCTTCTTAAGTCTTTGTTGGGGCCATGCATGCATTTGTGGAGTGGAACCTCCCAAAGCAAAGCAACGACTGACTAGGTTATTGTAAGTTCAACGCCTCCCAAAGACAACACCAGGCAGGATGATTTTCTAGGTCTAAAAGCCAGGGGGAAATAGTCCTTATTAATACCTGGACTCTCTCCAAAAAAAAAAAAAAAAAAGATGGGACCAGTAGATAGCGTCACGGCTATGTCACTGGAATCCCATGTAGTTGACCACAGTTTGAGTCCCAGATCCGGTGGCTTAAACTCACACCAGGCGCGTGTGTGTGTGTGCCCAAGATCCTGAGAGGAGAATGGAGGAGAAGGGATCAGCGTGGCCATCCTCCCTTGGGGGTGATTTCTCGCTTTCTGTCTCTCTGTCACTCTCTGTCTGTCTGGCAAGCACACGCACCCTATAGCAAAAACCTCTCCAAAAATAAATAAATAAATAAATAAATACCTGGACTCATGAGTAGAGACCTAAAGGGTCAGGCCTTAACGTAGGGCTCAAGTGTCCCTAGAATTAAGGCATGTCTAGGTCTGCTCCAGTCAAGCTTAACAACAGGCCTTGATGGGATCAAACTAACCTGTAAGTCAATGAACTGCCAGCTAAAACAAAGCCCTGTACTCTTTGAAGAAAGCCAACAAAACCCAGACACTACATACTGAATATTTACAGTCTAGGAAACAATAAAAACTGATTAAACGTGTTCAAAAGCAGGGAAATGTGAACTATAACTAGAAACTGGGAGAACCACCAGAAACGAGACGCTACATACTGAATATTCAGTCTGGGAAACGATAAAAAATGATGAGTCATGCTCAAAAGCAGAGAAATGTGAACCATCACCAGAAATTGGGAGAACCATCAGAAATGAGGGAAATGATGAAATGAACAGATATTTATTGCAGCTATGTCCAAATGTGGAAAGGAAAACATGAAAATAATGAGGAGGAAAGAGGACCCTACTGGGTCCTCAGAAACGTCATGACGCATTTTTGCATAGAAAAACACGTCATGACTCTTCCCACAACCCAATAGAAAATGGCATCCGAAATCTTTCAATTAGACATTGGAGAAGAAAAATCGGAAAAGCAGAAGCCCTGGAAACTGACTCTATCTATAGTGAAGCACTGAGTAGGTAAAGTGGGAGAAAAAAGGAGTATCCATGATCCGCGGAATAATGCACTGGTCTAACGTACATGTAAATTAAGAGTTCAAGAGAAGGGAAAAAAAGAACAGAGAAATATGTGAGACAATCATGGCTGAAAATTTTCCACATTTAATAAATATCTCCAAAATTCAATAAATGGGTCCAAGAAGCCTGGTAAAACTTAGACGATATAAATCTGAATTGTTCAAGATGATGCAGCTCATTACACACAGCCTGGAGTACAGTTTCTAGCTGATGTCAGCCTGTTAGTATGGCGTCTGGTGGCAGGGAATTACCCAGTACAGAGAAGAAGTGGGTGGAGGAGAGTTTTGGGCCTGATATATTATCCTACTAATTATAGGAAGAAAATGTTGTTAAAACCTCAGGAAGGCTATACTCCAGTCAGATCCTGACTGTATTTGCTTCGTGTGCTCCATGTCAGACACGGTACCAGAGAAAATAGAAATAAACAGTACTGATCTGTCACTGTTCATACTAATGTTCCGTAGGCTGGGGAGGAAACGGGAACAGGACTTTAGAGGTATTTTAATTTAGTGTAAGGTAAGGTATTTTTATTGCCCTATTTGGATTTCATATATCTATCACTGAGATCATTAACAACTCGTGACTACTAATAGCATCTAATTTGGTATGTGAATGCTTTGTAGACAATACATTTTGCAGCACATATAGGTAAATAAACAAGATGTACACATCTACTTCAGGAAATTAAGAAACGTAACACCGTTCAATTTGAGATGCTTTATTTTGGGAAAAATTATTAGCAATTAATTTATGGTTAATTCATAACCAATTTTCTTTCTAAACCAAAGTTTCAATTTCACTAAAAAAGATATACTGGCTATAGATTTACTTTTGCCACAACTTTCACCTTGTTCTCAAAGAATTTTTTTCTTAGCATTCTGCTAAAAAATTCAACCACAGGGGGCTGGTAGGAGACATAGTGATTAGGGCACTGGACTCCCACATAGCTGACTGAGGTTCAAGTCCTAGACCTGGTGGCTTGCTTTTTTCACTTTCTCTCTCTCTTTCTGGTCAAATTAAAAGTAAATAAATAAACTAAATTGAATTTAATTAAATAATTCTTTAAAAAAATTTAAACCACAGGACCAGCCTCTGTGGCACAGTATAAAGCGTACTGAATTACAGAGCTGGAAGCTACATGGTTACTATGGGTTTGGATCCTCAGCCTGGTCGACCAAAACATGCCAGGAGCACATGTTCTTGCCCAAGATCTGATAAGCTGGAGGGCTGAGGGGAAGGGATTGCAGTGTGACCACACAGACCCTGATGGGATATTTTCTCTCTCATTTTACATGAACATGTGGCAAGCACTCTCTCTCACTAATAAACTTAAAAATCTTTTCAATCACGGGAAAACTAAAACTAGATCTAACTATGTTGAATAAATACCTGTGCCCAAAGACTTATTAAAAAATTAAATGGCAGAACCAGCAGATGATATAATAGTTACGTTGCTGGACTCTCACATAGTCAACCGCGGTTCAAGTTCCTGATGGCGGTGGCTTAAAACTGATGCCAGACATGAGAATGTGCGTGCCCAAGATCCTGGGAGGAGAATGGAGAAGAAGGAATTGCAGTGTGGCCATCCCCCCGGGACGTGATTTCTTGCTTTCTAGCTCTCTTGTCTCTCCGGTGAGTGCACACACCCTATAGCAAGAATCTCTAAAGAAATAAATACATACATACATAAATAACATTTTAAACATGTAAAATGTATTTTCATTTTAATTTAAGTTTAATAACTGGGTAGTTACTTGACAAACAAAAGCAATGACCACCGGTAATACTTAGCATCAACACCACCACGAATTACAGAATCTTCCAAGAGAAGAATGTTCAAAATGACATAAATATAAATTTAAAAGACCAGGTGGGAGTCAGGGTAGGTACTCACTGTCATCTCGAGCAGACTGAAAGCTGCTACCCCTCTTCAGTGATGCTGTCTGGCTAAGATGGCCCAGCACTGAGGGACGGACGTCACTGTCGAGCTCCAACATGGGACTGTGTAGGCTTGGGTTCCCTGGAAGAGAGAGGCGACATTTCCATACATTACATTGGGTTGTCGGAAAAGTCATGATGCATTTTTGCATAGAAAACAGAAAAAAATATGTCACGACTTTTCCAACAACCCAGTATATATTCTTTCTTTTCTTTCTTTTTCTTTTTTTGGAGAGGTTTTTTGCTATAGGGCATGTGCGCTCGCCAGAAAGACAGAGAGAAACAGAGAGACAGAAAGCAAGAAATCACCCCCCAGGGGAGATGGCCACACCGCAATCCCTTCTCCTCCATTCTCCTCTTAGAATCTTGGGCATGCACGCACACACGCCCGGCGTGAGTTTAAGCCACTGGGTCCGGAACGCGACCCGTGGTTGGCTACATGGGAGTCCAGTGACATAGCCACTATGCCAACTGCTGGTCCCTGTTCTTTCTTTCTTAAGTTGATTAAACGGACTGCTTCTCTGAGGCTATTTCTTATTCATTGCTCCACTCCTAAATAAAACATTTACTAAGCAATGTTGAAGAATATCTTGTCTAAATGGCTTTTAAAAGGCATTCCCACAGACCTGGGAGACCAAATCCATTCCTCTGGCTTACTATAAAGTTGTAACTCTAAACCATGTATAGAGTTGTAATAAACCATGTGGCAGAATCTACACATCGTTTTAGAATGTGTGTTCAGGGAAACTGAGGGGCAGCCAATATCATAAACATAAAAATTAGGAGCAGAACTCATTTTTTTTTTTTTTGGAAAACAAGAACAAAAACAAAAAGAAAAAACAAAAACTTGTTGGCACTTCCAAGAGAAGTCATGGGATCTGGCTCCTCTGCTTCTTTAGGTGGTGGTACAGGTTCAAAACGGTTTTTCTTTTTCTTTTCTTTTTGGAGAGGTTTTTGCGATAGGGCGCGTGCACTCGCCAGACAGACAGAGAGACACATAGAGACAGAAAGTGAGAAATCACCCCCCAGGGGGGATGGTCACACCGCAATCCCTTCTCCTCCATTCTCCTCTCGGGATCTTGGGCACGCACGCACACGCACCCGGCGTGACCCGCCACCGGGTTCAGGATGTGAACTGCGGTCGACTACGTGGGAGTCCAGCGACATAGCCATTACACTAACTGCTGGTTCCCGAGGTTCGAAACATTTTTTACAGCACAGATCTTTGACTTTTCCCTTCATGCTGCTTTTCACATTTTAAATCTCAAATTCCACCGTATCTTTCTTTGGGAGGTGAGATTTGATTTCCTATTTCTAGTCCTGATGCCAGCTATCTAGCTTGGATCCTTTTTGCCTCACAGGTTTAACATTCCAGAAAGCAAACATTCAACTCCTGTCGAGAAATACTTGTTACTGTCTTGGATTAATCTCCTACTACGACACTACTTTCCTGATTCTCTTCTCAGAAGTCTTCCAGAAACTCTAAGGATAAAGGTACACCAGTGTTTGCGATCCAAATTATTTTGAGAATCGGGAAACGGTTTCTTCAAGATAGACCTATTAGCAACGGACTCCCATGTTGCCAAAGGTTAGGGCTTCAAGTGGGAAAATGCACCCTTGTCAAGTCTGTGGAGGAGCCCTATAAACAACACACTAACCTCTTCAGCAAGCATTCAAAAATCTTCAGAATAAACTGAGGTCGATGAACATTTACAGAGTATTTGCTAGGCATGGGAATCTGAAATAGTCCTGCTGCAAAAATGGACCTTACATTTTCCTGCCTTATTTGCTATTTTCTGCTTGAAAGGCCTTGCTCCTTTTTCATCTTCCATTTAAACTCTTATCCTTAAAGATTTAACTTGAAATACAGCTTTTATACAAAGTCATCTTTTTTGGGGGGGAGGGGGAGAGGTTTTTGCTATAGGGCGCGTGCACTCGCCAGACAGAGAGAGGCAGAGAGACAGAAAGCGAGAAATCACCCCCTGGGGGGAATGGCCACACCACAATCCCTTCCCCTCCATTTTCCTCTCGGGATCTTGGGCACGCACGCACACGCGCCTGGCGTGAGGTTTAAGCCACCGGGTCCAGGATGCAAACCATGGTCAACTACATGGGAGTCCAGCGACATAGCCATTTCGCTACCTGTTGGTCCCACAAAGTCATCTTTAAATGTTCCAGCTAGATATATTTTCTGTCTTCTCTGCCTTGAAGAATAGTAGAACAATCATAATTTTGTTGGCTGTGTGTTTTACCTTCTGTTGTTCACTAGCAGGGAATGTATGGCTTATCTCCAAACTGGACCACCCTCTTCTCAGGGATAAGAACTAAACGCTGTATCCCCATAGTTCCACAGTCCGATGACTTCCTTCCACAGATAACTCCACAATATATAGTGAATGGCTGATATTCTTCACTAAGAATTACATTCCTATTTTATAACTTAATCGCACCTTTTTTTTGGGGGGGGGGAGGTTTTTCGCTATAGGGCACATGCGCTCGCCAGACAGACAGAGAGAGAGACAGAGAGACAGAAAGCAAGAAATCACCCCCCAGGGGGGATGGCCACGCAGCAATCCCTTCTCCTCCATTCTCCTCTCGGGATCTTGGGCACGTACACACACGCGCCCGGCATGAGTTTTAAGCCATCGGGTCTGGGACGCGAACCGCGGTCGACTACGTGGGAGTCCAGCGACATAGCCATTATGCTAACTGATGGTTCCCTATGTATGCGTTCTTTAGGGCACGTGCACTTGCCAGAGAGCAAGTGAGAAAGGGAAAGTAAGAGGTACTCTCTAGGGGAGATGGCCCTGCAGCAATCTCTTTTCTTCCAGTTGCCTCTCAGGATTCTGGCAACACGCGCTCACATATAGGCCTGGCGTGTCTTTCACGTAGCTGGGTCCAGGACTTGAACTGGGCAACTGGCCATGTGAGATTCAGCTGCTATAACTACCACACTATCAGCCTTCCCAGGAAACAATATATATATTTTTCCTATATTAAATAGGAAGTTTGTGTGTGGAAGCTATACTGATTTATGACATTTTTCCTGTAAGGTTTATATAGTTGCCACTGCTATTAATTGCGGAATTCATAAATTTCATACCAAAATAGGAATTTTGTTGACCACTTTAAAAGGAAACATAAAGGGGTCCAAACTTAGCCTCACTTATGAAAATGTAAAATTTACATAAAAGTATACACTAGAAAGTACAAGAAGAAAATGTTTCATTTGAAATGTTACATGTCACTTTTGAAGGTGTCAAGACTACAAATTTATTCTTATGAAGGAAAACACTTCCTGGCATCCTTAAAATACACACTATATTGGGGTGTTGGAAAAGTCATGACACTTTTTTTTTTATAGAAAAACATGAAAAAATACATCATGCCTTTTCTGACAACCCAATAACATTCCTACAAATAATATGATTATCATCACTTAAGTGGATCACCAGAAAAAAATTTACAGTATTAACTGGTATTGTAAAACTTTAAATGGTTTAATATTAAATCACTTCTATAGTTTAAGTAAATCTTCAGTTCTGAAACTATTAAAAGATTGGTTTAGGGGCCAGCAGTCAGTGTAATGGTTACGTCACTGGACTCCAATGTATTTGACCTTGGTTCGAGTCTCAGACCCGGTGGCTTAAACTCATGCCGGGCGCGTGTGCGTGCGTGCCCAAGATCCCAAGAGGATAATGGAGGAGAAAGGATTGCGGTGTGGCCATTCCTTCTGGGGGGTGATTTCTCACTTTCTATCTCTCTGTCTCTCTCTGTCTTTCTGGCGAGCGCACACACCCTACAGCAAAAACCTCTCCAAAAAAAAAAAAAAGACTGTTTTATAAGCCAGCAGGTGATGTGGAGGTTAAGGTGCTGATTCCACATGGCTGAATCAAGTGCAGTTCAAGTCCCAGACCCAGCTGCTTGAGAATCACGCCATGCATGCCCACAATCCCGAGAGGAGAGGACTGGAGAAGAAGGGACTCTGGCATGGCCATCCCCCTGGGGGACAATTTCTCACTCACTCCCCTTTGCTCTCTGGCAAGTACACATCATATCACAAAACTCCAAAAAAAAAAAAAAAAAGGTTTATTCATCTTTTCCTTTCATAGCAGAATCTGTATAAAGGACATGCTTCTGTTTCTACTAGAAACGTCATCAGTTTTCTACGGAATAGGGAAAAATAAAGTTAAACGTGAAGTCGCTTCTTAATTGACAGCTCAGCTTTACCAGCAAATACAACATGGCGGCAGGCAGCTTGGCCGGCACATGCTCCCTCAGGACTAAGTGGCAGCTGGAAGACATCTGTAAGCTGTACTTCCACTGAGTGGCCAGAAGGTGGCGCTTCACTACTGCACACAAACGCATAAGCAATGCATATTAAACACCGAGCTCCAACCTAGAAATGTATTCCTCACCTTAACTTTCTGTTCCTTTCTTTCTGGTCCCCAAGAAAGGTGTTATAGCTAGTTATTTTACAGAGAATTAGGAGGGTTACATTTTGAAGAGAAAAAGGAAAATAATTTTAAATACTAATTGTCATAAAAATTATTTACTGTCAAGTTTCGAAAAAGAAAAAGAAATATACCTTTGCGGATTTTGACAGTCCTGTTAAACTTAAATTACATGACTTGGTATTTCTAACCCACAAAGTTATTATGAACATGAAGTAGTTTAGATGATAAGTAAGCATTACTATAAAAAACAAAGATAAAACAACAATTTCTATAAAATAACTAAGAGGTAAAAGGCTTGAAAATATTTCACAGATTTTCTTGTTTTATTCCAAAAATGGTAACAATTATCTGATTGTTTTATTCTACAATATAACAATTATCTCATTGTGTTTAATGAGAGCTATATTGTATAGAAATATATACATTATGTAAAGTATACCATGATAAATGACAAAAATGTAGAACTCTTATGAAGTCTCATTATATCAGGCACCCACTGATCTGCAGATTATATGAAACCGAAAACAGTATTATGGAGTGTCTTTTCCTTGAAATCCTAAACTGTCTGTCCCTTGAGACCTACTCGAGGGCCATGTTAAATGATAAACACACAATTTCAGTTTTC